CCCCCCCCCCCCCCTGTCGATGTAACTTCATAGTGTAAAAACTAGTGCATAATCCGTAAAAACACACAATCACGTTGAAGCTTAATAGAACCGCAGGAATTTCCGTGTCAAATATTGCTTAGTTCTCTATGTTCAAAACATGTCTTAGTTTTTATATTATATCCATCTTATATTTCGATCTAGTAACATAAGTACCTTGTAGACGAAAAGAGAATTTTATTTTTTTAATTTTCACAGAGAACCTACAAAAGACCACTTACCATCAACGTCCACATCCAGCCAGGAACCAGAGAGTAATAAATCCAGTCAATCGCCAATGGCAAAGAGTATGCCAAAGATCAACCTGCCAGGGGGTGCTATGCTCTACCACTCGGGCGTGTTGGCAGGCGTTGGCTTGGATGGACTTGGCACTAACTTAGGACTCGGCAACTTGGCAATGGGATACCCGCATAGTTTCATATTAGGTCTTGCCAATCAAGGACAGGAAGGTGGTAAGTATCTTTTTTCTTTATGGTAGATATGTTTATCAATTGTTTAAAATATAAACATAGAATAAGAAGAGTTAAGACCGAATTAACACTTATGTTAACCTTTTATAAGGCTGTGATAGTTGGCTGGAGTCTGAATGGAGTAAACAAGAGACAGATCTTCTAACAGACTATTTAGCTATTAAAAAGATGAAGGAACTCCTTTGAAATGTCTTTAAGTTGTTCTAGTGAGTAAAATGAAGCTCTTTCTCCTAAGCGTCATCATCGGGGCAGCCGCAGTTCATCACGATCCCGCTGTCTATGGCGATGGCAGCTGCGGGTGCGGGAGGTGGCGGTTCGGGGGCGGGGGTGGGCAGTAACGAATGTCCTGCCTCCAGTGATGACAGCAGTGAGCTACAGGACCTTACCACTACAGACAGGAAGAGCCTATAACTACGACAATGGTTAGTCAATGACTCATAAGTCCCAACTGTTAGGAAGGAAATATATATGCAAAGGATCTATTGACACCTCACTAGTCAAAATCGGTTTATCCTTTAGACTTCAAGAGCTCATAATGTAATCTTACTTCTTACTAATAATTCAATGTGAATGTTTGGATATCTGTTAGAATATATCTCATGAACGGTATAAGATCTCGCAAAAATTTGGCATAGATGTAGAATATAGTCTGGAAGGTTACACAGACTAATTAAGTTTTTTTTTATTCGTGTGCGGACGCGCGTTTGGCATTTATTTTATTTATACAAACTCACAAGCAAACAAATGTCTCCAAAGGCCGGCAACGCATCTACTGTTCCTGTGGTATTGATGTCCATGGGCGTCGTTGAACACCTCGGTGTTCCCGCTGCTCGTTTGCCCCCTTCTGTTATAAAATTAAAATAAATGTATTTTTTTTGTTACAGATGCAAGGTGTAAGGATAACTTGAAAGTTAAATATCTCTTTGTTATCTACCAAAGTATGGATGTTGATAAGAAGCAATAATTAGCTTGTATTGTATTGTAATTCATATATTCCATACGCTTGCCAACATGTAAGGTTATAACGAACAAGTCAAGTTTACAGAATTTAATTTATTATAATTATTATAATGAGTTTTTATGTAAAAAGTTTCCATTGCC